TTTATTAATATTATAATGTTAACGTATTATATTACGTTAACATCACCAAAGCAAGTGTAAATTATATTAATATACACATATATATTATTATTATTATTATTAAAACATATTAGTAACTTTAAGTGTGTGTAGATATTATATATATGTTGTATATAATTATATTTATTTTATTACATTATATTGTATCATTATTAATATTATACCACCTCCTGCTGTGATCTTCCACATCAATAACGTCTCTATAACTCTTATTCTACTTTTATTAGAATATTTTATTTATTTAATTCCTATTATATCTTGTATTTTTCTCTTCTATTTGTATTTAATATGTATTTTTCTTATATATATTCTGTCGTATCATCCAGTGTGGATCAATAAAGTGTGTGTGTGTCTCCTCCTGGGATCATTCATTTGTTTTATTTGACAGATTTGCAGATGATGAAGAAAAACGAGCGGGCTCATTTCTTCAGCTCCAAAGAGCAAGAACTGATCCTGAGGTTGTACGAGGAGGAGAAAGAAATACTGACGGCCAAATCCAACACCACCACCGCCTCGAAGCTGAGAGAGGAAGCCTGGCAGAGGATCGCTGACAAAATAAACGCGTGAGAAGATTTTTAATTTAATTTACTTATTTATTGATTATCTCTTTATTGTCTTTTAGAAAAACGGAGACAATGAGGTGAACAACAGAAACAGACGAACATAATCTGAACAGTTACAGATATTAGAGTCGAAAACAAACATAATACATAAAATATAAATATAATAATAAAATATATAGTTTATAATTTATACAAAAGGGGAGAAAAACAAAAACCTCAATTAGCAGTTGGATCAGTTCATCGTTATTTTACAGGAAATCACAGAAAACTTTACAAATGTATGGAAGTAAAAAGAAAAAGGAGTTTGTTAATTAACAAGTAAGGAAAGGTTTCTGAAAAATAGAATCAACTATTGTTGATGATTGAGGTAAATTTTTTTGAGAATTTTTTCGTTCTAATTGCACTTTAATGGTGCTTGTCCGCATACAGATGTTTCTTTCCGCAGAAGCCGCTATAACAGTTTGTCTTTCGTAAAATAGTTTTAATTTATTTATTTTTGTTCTAGCAACAATTAAATGTTCTCCATTCCTAAATACGTTTACTACGTTTTAACTATTTTACCATCACAGTAAACAACAAAACAGCACACAGAAAGTTTTTATTAACGTTTTACATGCATTATTATTATTATTAATATTATTATTATTATTATTATTATAACTTAACGTCCTCGTGACAGAAAACGCTTTAAAGTGATTAAAGTTCTGTAAAATAAAATATAAAAATATACAATAAAAAAGAGAAAACATATAAACATTTATTTTCATATTTTATGTCTAAACTGGAATTAATAGTCACAATAATAATAAAAATAAGATTTATGAAAAATTCAGATCTTTATATTTCCTGGTAAAGTGTTAGAAAGTATGTTTTTATTGTTGTAGGAAGTTTTTATTAATGAAATATATTTAAATTACAATCAGAACACAGTGCAGGACTCAGTACCTGATAATATAATATAATACACAGATAGTTTTAATGCATATTTATGTCTGTATGTGTGCAAAAGAACATTAAAATAAACAAAAAGGGACAAAATACAGATAAACTCTAACATCTGGACCGTTAAGGTCACCGTTACTGACAGCGCTGTCGTCGTTCTGCCTCCTCAGGGTGTCCGACAGCGGCTACAAGAGGTCGTGGCAGCAGGTGAAGGTCAAACACAAGAACATCGTTCAAACAGGTAAAAAAACAAACTCCATCCTCCAACAGAATCACCTCCAGCCGAGCGTTTAACTCTCTAATCCGTCCCCACGCAGCAAAAAGACGACGAGCCGAGGTGACGAGGACCGAGGGCGGTTCGGCGACCCCGTCCCTGGCCTCCGCAGAGGAAGACGTCCTGGACCAGAAAGACGCCACGCTGAGGCTGGAGGTCCTCCCCGGAGGCATCGAGCCTCTGACCGGGTCCGAGAGCTCTTTCATCAGCGGTACGTGCCCCTAACCTCTGATTCAGACCGCTTCAGGACCCGAACCACAATCTAACTCAGTGTTTACAGTCTCAGGCCACCCCGTCCTCCTGCTGCCCGTAACCAAGACGGAGCCGGAGAGCCTGAGCAGCGACGAGACCGACGTCAGCGACACGCATTTCGAACGAGTAAGAACTTCGAAAACCTCGATTTTATAAAGTCAGAATCAGAGTTTAAGTGTTTTTATTCCATCCGTCTCCTGTAGTCGATATCAAACTTTCTGAGAGCCTGAATTTCTGCTTAAAATAAATAAATATTTTAAGAGCATTGTGAATATAACAAATACTATAACTCACGTATTAATACCAGCTGCATACATTATTAATAAAATATGAAACCAGATCAGATTCTGAGGTTATTTATATGCTGCACATTGACTTTTTGCTGCTGCTGTTGTATTAAGGGTAAAATTAACCTCACAATCGACTTAAAATGACTCAAAATCAACACACTGGGAGTTAAAACGTGTCCACTTCTGGTTTAAATTACATTTTTGTTCTTTAAAAATGTCATAAATAGATTCAGCATCCTGAGTAACATCTAAAACTTCTCCTCTATCGTCTATTAATACTAATTAAAGCAACATATGTAAGATAGCATGTGGCAGTTTCTGGCAGCTGTGGACCCAAACTGAACATTTCTAAGATAAAAACTTTGGACTTTCTTGCAGGACGTGAACAGCAGCAGCTTCCAGGAGAGAGCCGACTCGTCGTGTCCCGCCGCCGCCGGCCGAAGTGCTCAGGTGAGCTTCGGATGTGTCGCTAGCTTTAAGGTAAAGTCAGAGAACGAGAACGAATATAAACACACAGGTTCGATTTCTTCCACAGAAGCAGACCGAAGACATCCGAGCGCTTTACTGCTGCTACCTCAGGAAGGAGATCGAGAACCGCGAGCAGCAGATGGCGTTCAGGGCGCTGAAGATGAGGAAGCTGGAGAAAGAAATATTACTACTCGATAAACAGCTGATGTAGAAACACTTTTTATTTTCCTTTTATTAACAAAAACAACAATAATTGATTCATTTAAGGTCAGAAAGTTGTAATAAACAGCTTCAGTCACATGATTCAGTCGTATGAACTCATGTTGCCCCAGTTGGTTGTTGTCACATGACTTACACACAGTTCAAAGGGCACTCACGACCATGTCAGATGACTAATGTAGGAACTCTTTTATAAGCGTTTAAAGAGACAATAATTTAACATTTCAACTTAAAAAGTCATTTTATTTTGTTTTCGGTTGCAGTCACTGACGGGCGGAGGTCTAATGTGACGGGCGGAGGTCTAATCCTCGCTGCTAAAGCTCTGACATCTACTTATTCCTTATTTTAGAGGTTTTTTTAACGGAGTCTGGTCCTCAGTTGGATTAAACACTTCAATAAAACACTAAAATAGAACAACGACACTCAATACCTCAAGAAAAATGTACCTGCACACAAAAACAACACGTTTGTAATAATGTTAATTTAATTATTCAATCTTTTTCTTCCCAGTTTGTTTCATCTGAGCAGACTCGGGTTGAAAATCCAACTATAAATCTGTTTTTATTAATATATTTTCTTTAGTATCGACACTTCTGACGACCTTAACGAGGTTATTTTGCTCGTCAGGATTATTTTTCAGTTGCCTTGTCTGAATAATTCGGACACACGTGGCCAAACACCAACATCACTTTGCTGAAACCTTTATAAGAAGATGAGGAATCGCAGGTAAACTGATTTCTGCCACCAGCAACATGGGCTACTTTATTGTTTTATTATTTGTTTTATTAATTATTTGATTA